GCAGGTGATGGGCGGCGGCCTGGTGTGAACACCTGGAGGTGGGCAGGTGATGGGCGGCGGCCTGGTGTGAACACCTGGAGGTGGGCAGGTGATGGATGGCGGCCTGGTGTGAACACCTGCTGACTGCCACCCCCCACCTCCCCGCCGCACAGGTGGCCACACGGCTTCAGTCGGCCCCCAACCCGGCGGCGCTGCTGAGCCTGCGCATGGATTTCACCCGCGTCCTGTGCAGCCACGAGCACTACGTGACCCTCAACCTCCCCTGCTGTCCCCTGTCGCCCCCGGCCTCACCCTCACCCTCCGTATCCTCCACCACTTCCCAGGTGGGCCTGCCTGTCTTCTGGCTTCTCTCCTTGACCTGTGACCTCTCACCTTCAACCCATTTCCTACGGCTCTCTCGTCTTTGACCCTCTCACAGGAGGCCACAGTCCATCCAGATGGACCAGCCCCTCACCTGTGACACCTGATTCTGGGCTGTTTCCCAGGACGCCCGACCTCTCATTCTACCTGCTCAGCTCTGATCCTCAAGCCTCTGTTTGTGCTTTGACTTCTCCTTCTCCCAGATGGGTTTACCCTAGCTCTCACCTCTGACTTTTAACCCCATACCCACATCCAGATGGGTTCGCCTCAATCCCTCAACTGGTCCTTGACCTCATGACTCCACCTCTCAGACGACTTTAACGCATGACCCCTCACCTCTGACACCTGACCACTGGTCTTCTGCCATCCCTGATCTCTGCAGAGCTCTGCCTTCTCCAGTCAGGCCCCTGACCCCAAGGTGACCAGCATGTTTGAGCTGAGCGGGCCATTCCGCCAGCAGCACTTCCTGGCTGGCCTCTTGCTGACAGAGCTGGCACTGGCCCTTGAACCAGAGGCCGAGGGGTGAGCACAGATCCCTGTCAGCCTCGGGAGGTGGGGCAGGGGGGAGTTCAGGAGCCTGGCTGCCCCATCCTGAGCACCCCACTGCCCCGTAGAGCATCCCTGCTCCACAAGAAGGCCATCAGTGCCGTCCACAGCCTGCTCTGCAGCCACGACGCTGACCCCCGCTACGCAGATGCCACTGTGAAGGCCCGTGTGGCCGAGCTGTACCTGCCACTGCTCTCCCTCTCACGGGACACACTGCCACGGCTGCACGACTTTGCTGGTCAGTGGGCCAGGGCAGGATAGGGTCGCATGGTCCGGGGGTTTGAAGGCTCAAGGCATAGAAGAAGAAGGGTGGGAGTGCAGAGATAGAAGTAAGAACAACATAAAGCAGGTCAAGTGCAAACCCACTTTAACTTTTCTGAGCCTTGAGTTTCTCACCTTTAGAACACGGATGATAATAGCACCATTTACTACACTGAGTTTTGTGAGACCCTGGGAAGCTGTGGCACTGTCGTATTGTAAGCATGCACTACTAACTGTGAGATGTTATGACATTTATTATCATCTAAGAAAGTAGGATCTTGAGAACAGATGTCTTGGAGAAAGTGCGGCCAGAGTGCTCCTTAAAAGCAAGGATGGTGAAGCTTCATCTCACAGATTTGGTCATGTTGTTATGCTTGGAAAGGTGGAAGGTCAGCTAAGGAGAGGAAGACCCTCAGTGAGATGGATTGACACAGTGACTGTAGCAATGGGATCAAGCGTATCAGAGATGATAAGGACGGCACAGGATCAGGTAGAGTTTAAGTCTGTTGTTCATAAGGTCACTATGAGTCGTACTCAACTGGACAGCACTTAACCAGAACAAAGGCTGAGAGGAAAGGAAGGCAGACAGCAGCAGAGAGAGAGAATGGTAGGAGCCTCCTTCCGCGTATTTGCTCGCTCATTCCAGTATGGCGGGATGGTGTCCAGAAGTGCCAACTTGGGTTTGTGGGTTCATGTCTTCCATCAGTTTAGGGAAATCCTCAGCAATCATCTCTTGATTTTTTTCCCCCCTTTTGCCTCACTTTCTCTGTCTCCTCTCCTTCTGGGACTCCAATTACACGTATGTTGGACCTTGTGATCGGGGCTTGTGTTTGCTTGCTATATGCTCTGTTCTTGCTGTTGTGTTAACCCTCTACTGTTACTTATCATTGGATTCATCATGCTTATACTGTGTCTGGTCTTCTGATAAACACATCCATTGAGTTCTTCATTTTAGAAATTACATTTTTCAGTTATAAAATACCTTGTTTGGTTTGGGTTTTTATTTTTTGTTTGTAGATTCCAGTTATCTGTTAGAATTCTCCATAGTTTTTGTCCATCTTCTAGTTTTTATTTTCAACTCCTTATCTGCTGACACCAATTGCTTGGTCACTTACAGGTCAACTTTTATTTCTTTATTTTTCCTCTCATCAATTCCTTTATTTTGCCTTTTCATCCAGAGTGTGTTTCTTAATTGTATTTTGAACACTGTATGTGAAAGAACCAGGGGGTTTAGGGAGGGAGGAAAATGTGCAACAATGAATGAATTTTAAAAAAAATTGAAAAAAAGAAAAAACAGAGACTGAGGTAATACCAACTTTTTCTAGTGAATATTCCACTTCCACTCTCAGGCATTTAGGATAAGAGAAGCTAATTACCTTACTCCAGTCAAGAATTGAGAGGGGTTTAGGCTGAATTGGAATTTTTAAAAAACTTGTTTAAAAAGTCTCCAGGGTGAGACCTGTTTTTAATCTGCTCTCCCCTCTGGCGGGACTTGGTTTTGGGGTGGGGAGAGTGGATTTTTCTTTTTTAAGGTCATGTTGTTATTGAGTACCATAGAGTTGGAACTGACCCTAGGTGACCCTCCAGCAGGTTTTCAGAGTCAGTTAATCACACAGGAGCAAGAGATTGCCCATTCTTCTCCCGCAAAGCAACTGGTGGCCTTGAACTGCGTGCCTTTGAGGTTGCAGTGCAGCTTCTTGCCACTAGGCCACCACAGCACCCTTTTTAAGGTCATGTTGTTGTTGTTGTTGTTATGTGCCGTCTAGTCGCTTGCGACTCATAGTGACCCTGTGTACAACAGCCCTAAACTCCGCTCTGTCCTGTGCCAATCGCACTGTCTCTGACACTCACATCCCAATTATCCCAGTCACTGAACCAATCCACCTCATAGAGGGCCTTCCTCTCCTGCGCCGTCCCTCCACCCTCCCACGCATGATGTCCTTCTCCAAGGACCAGTCTCTCCTCACAACATGTCCAAAGTATGTTAGACGGAGCCTCAGAATCCTTGCCTCCAAGGAGCCACCCGGGTTAACCCTTTCCAGGACAAACCTGTTTGCTTTCCTAGCAGTCCATGATATTCTCAATACTCTTCTCCAGCACCACAGCTCAAAGGCATCAGTTCTCCTTCTATCTTCCTTGGTCATTGTCCAACTCTCTGATGCATAACAAGTGATTGCGAAGACCATGGCCTGTATCAGACACACCTTAGTCTCCAGAGAGACACCATTGCTCTTCAGTACTTTGGAGAGGTCCCTAACAGCAGACTTTCCCATGGTAATGCGCCTTTTAATTTCCTGGCTGCTGGTGCCAAGACTGTTGACTGTGGAGCCAAGCAAACTAAAACTGTGTACAATCTCAATCTCTTCAGTTATCTGTCTAAAGACATGCAACAGGTAAATGCTCGAGTTAAGATTTTAACTTAGTCTAGTTAAAAACCCCTGTGACCTTAAAGGTTACCTTAGGGGTTTTTAAGTAGACTAAGTTAAAATCTTAACTCGAGCATTTACCTGTTGCATGTCTTTAGACAGATAACCTTTCCAAGCCCCAACTTTATAATATAGGGGTGATAAAAGTACTTATCTCCTGGATTGTTTTGAAGATTGAGAGTTAATGCTTCTTTTTTATTATTATTATTATTTTGTGTGCGTGTACCGTCAAATCAGATCTGACTGGTGCAGGAGGATATTGCGCCTCCTTCTCCGGCAGAGCATCTGGTGGATTCGAACCGTGTACCTCTGAGATTGCAGTGCAGTTTCTTGCCACTAGGCCACCAGAGCTCCCCCGAGAGTTAATGCTTCTAGAGAACCCAGAACAGGGCGGGGCCCACTGTAAATGCTACCCAAGTGCTCAGTGATGCTGTGGAAGCCCTGTGCGCTGATTCTTCCAGTGGAGCTTCAATGATGCTGTACTAACAGTAATAGTAAGAAGCTGCACTGCAATCCCAGAGGTGCGCGGTTCAAATCCACCAGATGCAGTAATATTTTTGTTGCCCGGATCTTCATCCATGCTATGGGCCAGGGTGTGTTTTAAATGCGGAGCACAGAGCAGACAGAATTCTGGCCCTGGTGTCCTCAGTAGGGAGTTGTGCTGCTGACCCAAAGGTGTCACCACCCTGGTGGTTTGAACCCACCAGTGGCTCCCCAGGAGATAGATGGGAAATCACCAGCCCCACCATGTGATTTACAGCCTCCAGAGAACCCACAGGAGGATGAGCTGTAAGTCAGTTCTGGCACAACAGCATGGAGTTGAGCGGTGTGGAATAGACAATTCCACACTTTATCTAATTGTTTTAATTAGCTCTGGGATCAGCTAACTACAGACCTGAACCTAGTCTAGAGGGACAATATCCAGGAAGAATTCCTTAAAGAGGTGACCTTAGAGCTGGAATCTTAGACAGAAGGGCCAGCACTTACCCAGGCCTCATTCTCATTCTCATTGTCCCTCCAGAGGGCCCAGGTCAGCGGTCAAGGCTGGCTTCCATGCTCGACTCAGACACAGAAGGGGAAGGGGACACTGGAGGCACCATCAACCCCTCTGTGGCCATGGCCATCGCGGGTGGGCCGCTGGCCCCTGGCTCCCGGGCCAGCATCTCTCAGGGGCCACCAACAGTAAGTACAGGGCTTGTGCCCAGAGCCTGTATCCATGTGCGTGAGAGGAATTGAATAATGAGGTTCACACTGACCAAACACTTCCTGAAAACCTGTCCTCTCTCTGACCCCAGGCTTCTCGCTCAGGCAGCACTCTCTCTGCGGAGTCCAGCCGGACCCTGCTGGTGTGTGTCCTCTGGGTGCTGAAAAATGCAGAGCCAGCCCTGCTGCATCGCTGGGCCGCAGACCTGGCCCTCCCGCAGCTCGGTGGCCTCTTGGACTTGCTGCACCTGTGCCTGGCTGCCTTTGGGCACAAGGTTGGAGGGGATGGGCAGGGAACTGGGGTGCAGAAGGCAGGCTGGGTGTGGAGCACACAGCAGAGTCTGTGGGGCTGTGGTTCTGTGGGTGAGTGAGGGTAAGGGGGTGGATTGTTTCTATGCACTAGTTTCTGAAGAAGTGAAGGTAAAAGAATAGACAATATTTTTTTGCTAAGCCAAGCAGTAAACAGAGACTTTTCTTTATGAATAGACTTTTGAAGGTTCTGAGGGCTTGAGATTAAGTGATATACTATGCATCAAACATGGGTCCTGGAGATAGGAAAGAACCTAAGAGGGAACTTAGGCTGGCCCAGGTCCCACAGAAAGAGGCAGGACCAGCTTTGAACTCCAGTCCTCCCCCTCCAGGGGAAAAAGGCCTTCGAGCGCATCAACAGCCTGACCTTCAAGAAGTCACTGGACATGAAGGCTCGCCTAGAGGAAGCCATTTTGGGGACCATCGGAGCGCGACAGGAGATGGTTCGGCGGAGTCGTGGTGAGTGCTGGACGCCTCACGCAGCCCCCACCTGCTGCTCCCAGCCGTATCCTCGGCCCCTCAGGAGAGCAGCCCTCCCTAGCCCTCGGTACGGCTCCAAGCAGGACTTCCACACATTTGTGTGTATCTGGTTTCCCCTATGTTCTCACATGCTATCATGTCTAAGCGTATGTCCACTCACTCACCCAGCCTCTGCGTCACCCTGGGTCTCTGTGGGCTGACCCACCCCCCATGCGTCACGCTGTGTCCGTGTGTGTCTCAGAGAGAAGCCCATATGGGAACCAGGAAAACGTCCGCTGGCGGAAAAGCATCACACACTGGAGGCAGACCTCGGACCGCGTGGACAAGTGGGTGTGGGCTGCACGGGCTTCACTGGGCTCAGACCAGTTTCCAGGGGGCTGGCACCCTGCCCCCAGAACAGCCAAGGAGGGCAGAGAGTTCAGTCGTGGGGTGGACCCCGGCTCTGACTCCCCTAAGAGAGTTCAGTCGTGGGGTGGACTCCGGCTCTGACTCCCCTAAGTTCCTCTTCTCCTCCAGGACCAAAGATGAAATGGAACATGAGGCCTTGGTAGATGGGAACCTGGCGACGGAGGCGAGTCTGGTGGTTCTGGACACCCTGGAGATCATTGTGCAGGTACGGCTTGACCCAGCAGCCGCCCTGACTCCAACTCCACCACGGTGCCTTGTGATCTCTGACTCTGACTTCCTATAATCACCCTCTCCCTGACCCCATGACCACCCGGACCTCCTAACGCCTGGCCGTCTGATACCTTTTGGCTGGTGAATTCTGTTCTGCAGACAGTGATGCTGTCAGAGGCCCGGGAGAGCGTCTTGGGGGCGGTGTTGAAGGTCGTGTTGTTCAGTCTGGGCAGTGCGCAGAGTGCCCTCTTCCTGCAGCATGGCCTGGCCACCCAGCGGGCCCTGGTGTCCAAGGTGAGCACCACCACTTGTACACCGTGACGTTGAGCATTACAGCCCAGCGTGCATGTGCCGAGCACCGACTGGGTGCCAGCAACTCCACGGGCAGAGATTCCCCGGCTGCCGTGACAGAGGGCAGCTGAGGCTCCGGGTGGCACGGTCGCTTCGGCTCAGATCTGCCATATCCCCTCGCTCCCCCGGCCCCGTCCCCCACCTGGGACCTTCGGCACCAGGATGGGGAGGGACTGACCGGTGTCTGCTTGGCTCCCGGGCAGTTCCCAGAGCTGCTGTTTGAGGAGGACACGGAGCTGTGCGCTGACCTCTGCCTGCGGCTCCTGCGTCACTGTGGCAGCCGCATCAGCGCCGTCCGCACGCATGCCAGCGCCTCCCTGTACCTCCTCATGCGCCAGAACTTCGAGATCGGCAACGTGAGTGCCGGGTGGGGCGTAGGTGGTGGGCCTACAGATAGCGGGCGCAGGTGTGAGACCGTGGCAGCTGCTGGGGGTCTCAGTAGAGTGAGGGGCCGTGATAAAGTGGGGGATGCTTTTTGCGCACAGGCTTCTCAGGGGGCTGTATAGTAAGAGCTGGAGGAGGTCCGGGTGTGTGGGCCCAAGACCCACCGGTGCCCGCTCCCACCTCCACCCACACAGAACTTTGCCCGAGTGAAGATGCAGGTGACCATGTCGCTCTCGTCTCTGGTGGGGACCACGCAGAACTTCAGTGAGGAGCACCTGCGGCGGTCACTCAAGACCATGCTCACCTACGCCGAGGAGGACGTGGGGCTGCGGGACAGCACCTTCGCCGAGCAGGTGACGCCCGCCGGCCCGACCCCACACTGCCACTTCCCACCGGCCCCTTCGCTTCCCGGCACCCTCATTGCCGCCCGCGTCCCCGGCTCCAGGTGCAGGACCTGATGTTCAACCTGCACATGATCCTGACGGACACGGTGAAGATGAAGGAGCACCAGGAGGACCCTGAGATGCTCATCGACCTCATGTACAGGTGGGCAGGGCCAGGTGGGACCTCCATCACTCCGCAGGTGCGACAGTGGTGGGGGGGGAACAGCTGAAAGGAGGGAGCAGATGCGTGCCCAGGTAGCAGAGGGACGAGTGAGGAGGGCAGGTAGGGAGAGCCCGGGAAAGTAGCAGAGCAGATCATTACAAGAGAGGGCCTGAGTAAGGTTAGCAGGTGCGTGAGAAGGTGTCAGATACACAGACAGCCGAGGCGAGGGCAGATGATGATGCCTGACGCGATTAGGACATGTGAGGAGGCCAGGTGGGAGACAGGTGAGCTGCAAACAGCTGATGGGTGAACAGGTCCGAGGAGGACAGCGTGGAGGAGAAGGGAGGGTGTTTAGTAAGACACAGAGTCGGGAGCGGTGGGCGGGTGCCGGCGTGAGGGAAGGTGATATGGAAGGAGGGGGGCTGGAGTAGACAGGTGAGCAGGTGCAGGGACGTGGGGTGTAAGGGAGGAGAGGAGCGAGTGGGGCCAGGCGGTAATGAAGGCAACTCCACAGGTGGAGTAAACTGAGAAGGAGATGGGAGAGGGTGGTAAGCTGCGGGAGAGTGAAGGTTGGATGAGTGGGGAAGCAGGTGAATAGCGGTACAGGTGAAATGATGATGAGCAGATGAGGAGAGGCGAGTGAGAAGAAAGGAGAGGGGCTGGACAGGAAAGGGGATAGGTGAGAGGATGGAGAAGTGAGGGAGTGCACTGGCGAGGAGACAGGTGAGGAATGGATAGACGGGGGTGCAGGTGATAGGATGGGCAGGTGAGGAGACAGGTGAGGAATGGATAGACGGGGGTGCAGGTGATAGGATGGGCAGGTGAGGAGACAGGTGAGGAATGGATAGACGGGGGTGCAGGTGATAGGATGGGCAGGTGAGGAGACAGGTGAGGGACTGGATAAATGAGGATGCAGGTGATAGGATGGGCGGGTAAGGAGACAGGTGAGGGAAACAGACTGGTGAGACAGAATACAGATCAGGAATGAATAGAAGAGGACGCAGGTAACAGGATGGACAGGTGAGGAATGGATAGACAAGGAGACAGGTGAAAGAATTGGACAGGTTGGGGAGTGGCTGAGGGGATGGACTGGAGAATGGGGTGTATCGGTGAGGATCCCGGCTGGTCACTAGGGCAGACACAGTAGTGAGGTGGGACCAGGAGGGCAGGATGCGCCCCATCCTCTCACGCCCCTCATCTGGGCCGCAGGATCGCCCGGGGCTACCAGGGCTCCCCAGACCTGCGGCTGACGTGGCTGCAGAACATGGCAGGCAAGCACGCGGAGCTGGGCAACCACGCCGAGGCCGCCCAGTGCATGGTGCACGCGGCCGCCCTGGTGGCCGAGTACCTCGCCCTGCTCGAGGACAGCCGCCACCTGCCCGTGGGCTGCGTCTCCTTCCAGGTGAGTGAGGTGGTGTGCCAGGGGGTGGACGTGCTGGGCAGGGACGTGCTGGGCAGGCACGGGGACTGATGCCGTCTCCCACCCAGAACATCTCGTCCAACGTGCTGGAGGAGTCGGCCATCTCCGACGACATCCTGTCGCCCGACGAGGAGGGCTTCTGCACGGGGAAGCACTTCACGGAGCTGGGACTGGTGGGGCTGCTGGAGCAGGCGGCCGCGTACTTCACCATGGTGAGCCGGCAGCACAGGGTCAGTGGGAACCTGCCTCTCCGGGAGGGGGACAGAAAAAAGGGCCCTGGGAACCTCATTTACCTGTTGCCGTTGAATTGATTGCGATTTGTAGCGGCGCAGTGGACAGAGCAGAACTGCCCTGTAGAGTTTCCATTGTTTGGATCTTTATAGAAGCGGATTGCCACACAGAGAGAGAGAGAGAGAGAGAGAGAGAGAGAGAGAGTGTGTGTGTGTGTGTGTGTGTGTGTGTGTGTGTCCCTCCTTCCCCGGCAGAGCATCTCAGACTGCCACATCTTTATCCCGTACAGCATCTGGTGGGTCCATACCACTGACCTTTGACATAGCAGCACTGACCACTTGACCACTGCACCAGCAGACCTCCCACTGACCCTCAGAGGCCCCGTTATCTTTGGTGGCCGAGCCTCTAGGTAGTTGTGCTGCTGATGCCAAGTTGGAGCCTCTCCGGCAGTGGAGACCCGCCAGTGGCTCTGCGGAGAAGGAAGGGCACTCTCCTCCCAGGCCAGTTACAGACTCCACACACTCCCTGGGGGCCAGCCAGAGTTCCAGCTCAACGCACGAAGTTGGAGATGAGAGGGAGTCGGCACTCAGACTCTCTGTCACGATGTATGCACTTTGCTCTAGAACATTCCGAGTGCACATTAGAGAAGAAAATAGCCGTGTGACGCCCACAGCCCTCAGCCAGCCTCCACCATACTCCTGCGTCCCGTCTTGTCTCTGCTTTGCCCCCCACAGCACGCTTTTTTAATCATAGCTTTTCTTTTTTGTGCATCAACCCCCAAAATTTTCACTGATCAAAAAAGCCACTCATAGCCGTCTGCTGGAGTTTTTCGGACCCTTGCTGCTTTGTGTGGTCTGCAGGCTCAGGCCTTTACCAAGAACACAGGCTGCTGGGCCAGAATCAGGCCCTGCCTTTCAACAAGAACCCGGATGTTCAGATCCCAGACACTTCTTAAAACAATCACAGATGCAGGGAGAAAAGTGCAACAATGAATGGATGGAAATCCAAAGTCTCTGTAAATTTTTATTAAAATTAATAATAATGTGCCGTCGAGTCGTTTGTGACTCATAACGACCCTCTGTACAACAGCCCTAAACCGTGCTCTATCCTGTGCCAATCTCATTGCCTCTGACAAAAAAACCAACAATCACAGATGGCTATCTCATATGCAGGAGTAACCCCAGGATAGCCTTTATCCCAGACAAACACTCATGGAAAGTATTCTCACATCTCAGCAAGTTAACAGGAATTCTTTACTCTCTCTTAATCCTTATTACAAGAAAAGTGATCCGACAGAGTGCGGAAAGTATCGAACAGTATCATTGGTATCACATGCAAGGAAGATTCTGCTGAAGATTATCCAAAAACGACTGGAACAGCACATCAGCAGAAAACCGCCATATGTGCATGCTGGATTTAGAAAATTCTCTGGTACTAGGGATATTATAGCTAATGTCAGATGGATCTTAGCTGAAAGCAGAGAGTACCAGAGGAATGTCTATCTTCATTGACTATGCAAAGGCATTTGACTGTGTGGATCACAACAAACTCTGTGACTCTGAGAAGAATGGCAATCCTAGAACACTTGATTGTGCTTATGTGAAACCTATATTTGGACCAGGAGGCAGTCGTCCAAACAGAGCAAGGAAACACTGCATGGTCCAAAATTGGGAAGGGTGTATGCCAAGGATGTGTCCTAATCTGCATATCTTCCCAATCTATATGCAGAACAGATTATCCGGGATGCTGGGCTCTGTGAGGAGAAATGTGGCATCAGGATTAGAGGTAGACTCATCAACAATCTGTGTTATGCAGATGACACAACCTTGTTTTCTGAAACTGAGAAGGACCTGAAGCACTTGCTGCAGAAGGTCAAGGACTGCAGCCTTCAATATGGATTGAAGCTCAACATCAAGAAAACAAAGATTCTCACCACTGGGATGATTGGCAACATCATGGTAGACGGTGACAATAAGAGATTGCTCACAGCTTCAGTTTGGTTAACTCTACAGTAACTCTCTCGGCACCAGCAGCCAGGAAATTAAAAGACGTATTGCGGTGGGAAAGTCTGCTGTTAGGGACCTCTCCAGGGTACTGAAGAGCAATGGTGTCAGTCTGGAAACTAATGTGAACCTGATACAGGCCATGGTCTTTGCATTTACTTGCTATGCATCAGAAAGCTAGACAACGACCAGGGATGATAGAAGGAGAATTGATGCCTTTGAGCTGTGGTGCTGGAGAAGAGTATTGAATATACCATGAGCTGCTAGGAGAACAAACAGGTTCATTCTAAAGAGGATGAGATCAGACTGCTCCTTGGGGTCAAGGATTCTGAAGCTTCATCTGACATACTTTGGACATGTTGCAAGGAGGGACCAGTCCTTGGAGAGGGACATCATGCTTGGAAGAGTGGAGGTCATCTGACATACTTTGGACATGTTGCAAGGAGGGACCAGTCCTTGGAGAGGGACGTCATGCTTGGAAGAGCGGAGGGACAGCGCAGGAGGGGAAGACCCTCAATGAGGTGGACTGATTCAGTGACTGGGTGATGGGGATAGGTGTGTCGGAGACAGTAAGATTGCCACAGGATAGAGCAGGGTTAGGGCTGTTGTGACTCATAGGTCACTATGAGTCACAAGCGACTCAATGGCACATCACAACAACAATCCTCATTAAGAGACTAGGGAGCTCTGGTGGCTTAGTGGTAAGGAGTTGCGCTGCCAACACAAAGGTACCCAGTTCACATCCACCAGCTGCTTCGTGGGAGAAAGATGGGCAGCCTCCTCCTGTACGATTTACAGCCTCTGAAAACTGGAGAGTCAGCTATGGATCGGTTCCAACTCAACGGTACACAACAGCAACACCAGTCCTTGTGGCCTTGCGTATTTCAGATCTTGTTTGAGAGCTGGTAGGGTTTTTGCATGAGCATCCATGTGGAGCCCACCCTAAATTTGGGACTGAAAGATCTTAAACCAATCAAGTCCATTCTGACTCGTGGAGACCCCAGAGGACCGAGTAGACCTGCCCTGCAGGGGTAGACCTTTCCACGGGCAGACTGCCACGTGAGCAGCTAGACGGTTCGAACCCAGTGACTTTCTGCTTAGTGCCTGACTACTTGAAACACTGCACCACCAGGGCTCCTGACGCCTCTCTTACCACATGCTGTGGTGTTGATTCCAACCCGTGGTGCCCCTCCATCGTGGGTTTTCTCCTGAAGATCAGCTGATGGATTCAAACCACCAACCTTTCAGGGAGAAACCCAGTATACTATGTACTGTGCCATCAGGGTTCCTGGGCACCTCCCTTAAGTCTCTTTCTTTCTCGCCTCCTTTAATCTAGAGGGAAAAACAATTTAGGCATCCATTCGCTGTGTCCCTCTCTTTAAGATAGGAGTTTTATCTATTTCCTGATTGTTGAATTGTTAGAATTGTCTTTTCTCCACTGTTGTAAAAGGGGCTTCACCTTGAGTTTTTCTTCCAGCTGTTCTTGCCTTGTTTGCACGAAGGCTGTAGGTTTCTCCTGCATGTGATCAGGGAGGCCTGGACTTTTATTCCAGGTTACTGGCCTGGGGGCAGCCCTAGAATGATTTTGAAGGGACAGTGTCACCAGGCCCTGGGATGGGGGGTGTCATATTTGGGGGTTCTTTAATGGTTAGATGCAGAGGCCCAGTCAGGTTCACTGTCCAAGTCTCTGGAGGTTTCTCTAAATGCCATTCCCTTCCTACCACTGGCCAGACGTCAGCGACACAGAGTTGGTCACTTCTAAAGTAGAGCCAGCCCTGCTGCCCAGTCACTTGACTCAAGGCGACCCTGTAGGACTGACTAGAACTGGACAGACCAGAACAACCCGCAGGTGTGCTCTCTCCGGAAGCGCCGTCACATCATCCGTGGGTCGGCTGGTGGGTTCAGTGGCTGAGCTGTCCTCAGCTGAGCGAGTGACCACTGCACCACTAGACCCTCTTTCTCTCACTCCTAGCGATGTTGTTTTCATCGCTGTTCTTTTTTGTTAGTCTCAGTGACAAGTCCCTCAGAGAGAGAAAGCAGAGGGTGGGCCTGACCTCTGACAGTGGGCAGACAGCCCATGGAGCCTGCTGGGTGCCAGGCACAGCTGGGGACAGGGGGCACCCACCACAGGAGAGAGCACATTCCTGGACGCAGTTGGGAGTGGGCACCAAGCCAGATGGGCCAGGGTTCAGGGCGTAGCGCTAGGGAGCCTCCCCCCTCTCCCTAGTTCTCTCATTTTCCCTTTGACCAGTGGAGAGCATAATGGGATCCCCTCTGTGAAGGGACATGGGGAAAGAAAGGGCCAGTGTACACAGAATGTGGTGTGCAGTAGGACTCGGCAGATGAGGTAGAGACCACCTAGGGTCCTCCATGGGTCACACAGGAAGATGAGAGCCCCATCTGGAGTAGGGGTAGTCAGGGTGGGCTTCCTGGAAGAGGTGATGTGGAAGCAGAGCCTGGATGGTAGGAGGGAGCGCTGCGTGCTGAGGAACCTGATGACCTTCCTCTCCTCCCCACTTAGGGTGGGCTCTACGAGGCGGTGAATGAGGTCTACAAGACCCTCATCCCCATCCTGGAAGCCCACCGTGATTACAAGAAGCTGGCTGCCGTGCACGGCAAACTGCAGGAGGCCTTCACCAAGATCATGCAGCAGGTGGGTCCCCCACCTCCCTCTCAGACCCCTCCCCAGTGGCCCGGACCCCGGCCTCTACTGACCCTGTCCTTTCTCTCCCCGCAGAGCTCCGGCTGGGAGGTGAGTTGGCCCTGATGGCCACTGCCCCTGGGGTCCTGGTGACAGCTGGCCAGCAATGGTCAGGGACCACCAGGGGGCGCTGGAGGCACACAGCCAGCCACCCAGTCATGCAGGGGGCTGGGCTCAGTGGGCCCAGTGCACCCCTACTCCTCACCACTCCCCGAAGGTCCGAGCTGTGACTCACCCAGCTGGGAACGCTCCACAGACACCCCTCCCTCCAGGGCCTTATCGGTCACCATGGGGAGGGGGCCGTGACTCCTTCCTGCCATCTGTCCCTGCTGCTGTTTTTCTGTCTCTCCCTGTCCCTCTGTCTCTCCCTGTCTCTGTGCATCTCTCCCTGTCTCTCTCGCCTCTCTCCCTATCTCCTCAACCCCTCCACCACCACCCCCTTCCCTACTTGAGTCTATTTTTAGGCATCTCCTAGTTTGGGGAGAATTTTCTGGCCAAAGATGGCAGGAACCCAGAATTGGGGCAGGCGGGGTGGGGCAGGGTGTGGTAAGCAGGCCTCCTCCCCGCTCCTCTCCCCTCCCTTCGCCACCCCCAGCCCTGTTCTTTACCCATGGGGCCATGTAACTAAGTCCCTGGGTGGGTGAGCTCTGACCTCTCTCATGACTTTATCTCTCTCTCTGCCCTTTCCATGCCCGCCCACCCACTGGATCTGCCTGGGTAAGTGAACTAGACCCACCCCCCTCCCTTCAGGGGATGTAGAAGGAAGAGATGATGCCCTAGATCCCCTAGAACTAGGGTCCCAGAGCTTCTCTCCTTGAGTGAGAGAAGCCAGGCCTTCCTTCAGCCACACAAGCATTTATTGAGCACCTACTGTATGTCCAGCCCCAGTCTCAATTTCAAATTGGGATCCAGAACTGCAGGAGGGCAGGCTAAAGAGAAGCGCTGCCTTTGTTAGACATGGGTGCCCATATGGGCGAGGCAGGTGGCAAAGAGGGTGTAGGCTGAGGGGAGTGGTCCCGGCTCAGCCCTGATGTTCTAAGGCACCTTGATATTCTGAGTTCCCTCGCCTGCGCCCACCTGCCCTGTGGGGCTTGCAGACAGCCACCTCCTGGGCAGGGAGACCTCCCGAGGGGCCTCCCATGCAGCATTCTCCCTCTCACAGCCCCAGCGAGTGTTCGGGACATACTTCCGTGTGGGCTTCTACGGCGCCCGCTTTGGGGACCTGGATGAACAAGAGTTTGTGTACAAGGAGCCATCCATCACGAAGCTGGCCGAGATTTCCCACCGGCTAGAGGCACGTCCCCGTGGGGGGAGTAGGGCTAGGCACCGGGCTACAGTCTCTGGGGTCATAGGGTGCCCTGGGTTGGGGTGGGGGCTGTACCCGTTCATCCTGAATCAACCCGTCTCCCCAGGAGTTCTACACGGAGCGCTTTGGGGAAGACGTGGTTGAGATTGTCAAAGACTCAAATCCCGTGGACAAATCCAAGCTCGAGCCACAGAAGGTGAGGGGCTCCCAACCACCCCTCCAGGGAACCCCTAAATCTTGTACTCAGGAAGGCTACAAGTACTCTTTTCTCTAGATTCTCAGACCTATTTCTCTGTGCAGAAATACACTGTTGTCTATTCTGACTCCCAGCAACCCTGTAGGACAGAAAAGAACTCCTCAGAGTTTCCAACATTATTGGTTCAGATACACCAGCCACTCTTGAAGAGGAATGGGCAGTCTTTTTTCATTAAAATTTACAGCCTCATAAGGGTTTCATGAGACATTTTCATTAATGAATCAGTTGTAATTAACATTATAAAACGTATATGAACAACTGAATGAAAGCCAATGATCTGTCAACTTTCACTCAAATTAATTAAAAAAAAAATAATAATACTCCCTGCGAGCTCTGGTGGCCTAGTAGCAAGAAGCTGCACTGCTATCCCTAAGGTGCATGGTTCGAATCCACCAGATGCTCTGCTGGAGAAGGAGGGGCAATCTCATTCTGCACCAGTCAGATCTGATTTGATGGTGCGCGCGCGCGCACACACACACACACACACACCATACTCCCCTTCCAAATCCCCACGGAGGGTCATCATAAGCCATAATCGAATTTTTGCGAGTGGAGTTTGGAGTTTTAACTTCTAATCGGGTTCGGGTGTCTTTTTTCCTGTAGAGCAAGAACCAAACCTTTCCGTTACCAGCCAAGCACTCACTTCACTGTGCCACCAGAGCCCCCCTCATATTCCTGAGGGACCCCAAATCCTATTCTTGAGGGATTCCCAGACATCCACAGGGAGACCTACGAATGCCAGGTTCAGATGCGGGGCTGAGGGCTGGGCGCCGTCCTCACTGTACGCCCCACCCCAGGCCTACATCCAGATCACCTACGTGGAGCCCTACTTCGACACCTACGAGCTCAAGGACCGCGTCACCTACTTCGACCGCAACTACGGGCTGCGCACCTTCCTGTTCTGCACGCCTTTCACGCCGGACGGGCGTGCACACGGGGAGCTGCCGGAGCAGCACAAGCGCAAGACGCTGCTGAGCACGGCCCACGCCTTCCCCTACATCAAGACGCGCATCCGCGTGTGCCACCGCGAGGAGGTGCGCGCGCGGGGACCCCGGGGGGGCCACTCATGCCTCCTGCCCCGAGCCTGAGAGTTCAAGGAGCCCGGCCTAAAGCCCCTACACCCACAGGCTCCAGGCACGGGCTGGACCCAACCACAGCAAAGCCCCCCCAGAGCCGGATAGACCCAAGCAGAGCCCCACATTCACCAGGACCCCGTGGGGTCCAGCTGCTCCGTGTGGCTGGGGTCAGCACACCTGAGTGCAAGCTTCCTCCCATACCCCACAGACAGTGCTGACCCCAGTGGAGGTGGCCATCGAGGACATGCAGAAGAAGACACGGGAGCTGGCCTTTGCCACCGAGCAGGATCCACCAGATGCCAAGATGCTGCAGATGGTGTTGCAGGGCTCCGTGGGGCCCACCGTGAACCAGGCACGGCTGGCGGGAGGGGCAGGCAGCCTGGGACCTCAGGAACCAGGCAGGGGCTTTCACAAGTCCTTCTGGCCCCACAGGGTCCCCTGGAGGTGGCCCAAGTGTTTCTGGCTGAGATTCCAGAAGACCGCAAGCTCTTCAGACATCACAACAAGCTGCGGCTTTGTTTCAAGGACTTCTGCAAGAAGTAGGCGCTGCAGCCCCTCCTGCACCTTCTGCCTGCCTGCCCCCGCCCCTCCGTGCCTCTGCCTGCCTGATTAAACCCCCACTACAGCCTTCAAACCTGACCCCACTGTGGATCTGCTGCCCGATTCCCATGACATCCCCCCACCCCAAGCTCTGTGACCCATGATAGCTGCTCCCTGTGAGTCTGCCCCTCTATGCTCCTGACCCCCCGCTTCTGCCTGGTCTCCATTTCTCTCCCTACCAACAGGTGCGAGGACGCACTTCGGAAGAACAAGACCTTGATCGGGTCGGACCAGAAGGAGTACCATCGGGAGATGGAGCGTAACTACTGCCGCCTGCGGGAGGCGCTGCAGCCCCTGCTCACCCAGCGTCTGCCCCAGCTGCTGACACCCGCCACACCTAGCCTCAGGTGCCTGAACCTGAGTTTTGCTCCCACCTAGGAAAGATAGACATGGAGGGGCTGTCAACACATGCATGGTGACACTCGTGTTTGCATCTCTGCACCAGAATGTGACTATTTCTGTGTGTACAAATGTAGCCCTTTCATAGCCCAATGGAGTCACTGCCTGGATACAGAGCCTCCGTTTCCATTATCTGGGAAATGGGGATAATGCATGTCTCCCATGGTATATGCTAAGAGAAAATCTTGGTCTGGAGGATGTAAAAGGGGCAAGGGACACCTAGAAGGATCCTGGGAGGAGGGAAAGGTGGCAGGTTGGAGAGCCCCGTGGAACCTGCAGGCCTGTGAAGGTGGTGACCCACCCCTTTTGCCCCCCAGGAACTCCCTGAACAGATCGAGTTTCCGTAAAGCTGACTTCTGAGCCCGCAGGATCCTGAGACTACAACAGAAGAGCCAGGCTCCCGGCCTCAGCTGTCCTTTCCTGGGAGTCTCCCCATTTCCCACTCCTCCAGGGGGGTGGCACGCAGCAGGCGGGGCTGGGCCCTCTGTCTGTCTGTCTGTCCCCATCTGTGTGCACTGATGCTTCTTGCCTTTTTTTAATTTAAAATGGTTTTTTTGTAAGCAATCTGATCCGTGCAGTGTGGTCACTGGGGCTGGGGACACAGCAGTGACAACATCACACAGGAATTCACTCCTGCCCCTGTAAGAGCTGAGCTTTGAGTGGGGGAGGCCCCACAGGAATTAACAATGTCACACGCCCACCCACCAGGAATAAGAGTGGCATTTGTCAAGGCCTGCTGGGTCCATCCACTGGGTGGATTTGAACTGCCAACCTTTTCTGAGAGCAAACCATTTATACCACCCAGAGTGTAATGGTCCTCAGGAATGTAATAAAGCAAGACCCATGGACCAGCTGGGGGGTTTGAACTGTCACTTTCTTTTGGCAATCCAACACTTAACCACTAAGCCACTGGGGCGCCTTAGCTGTTGTTAGGTGCTTTCTGGTTAACCTGGACTCATAACAGCCCCAAACGACAGACTGAAACCCTGCTTGGACCTGCCTCATCCTTACAATCGCCGCTGTGTTTAAGCTGTTACAGTCACTGTGTCAAATCACCCTCTTGAGGGTCTTTCTCTCCTTCACTGACCCTTTTTCCAAGTATAACGCCCTTTGCCAAGGACCAGCCCTCCCGGTAACATACCAAGTGATCAGGAAGTCTTCGGTTTTCACTTCTAAGGGGCCTTCCGCCTGCACGTCTAGGTCCCTTTGCTCTTTTGACAAACCATTTTATGCTGAAGACTTGTCAACACCGCAATTCAAAGGCATCAATTAACCCTCTATTCCTATTCATTGTGCAACTTTCACATGCATATGAAGCAATTGAAAAGACCCATTGGTTGGCTGGGTCTATTGTCCCCATTTTACAGATGGGGAAACTGAGGCACACTTGCTGGGGTTGGGGTCAGCCTAAGCAATTGCCCCTGTCCGTGCAGCCTCGCACTAGGCCACCCTCTCCTACCCTGGCGGTCACGCCACCCAGTCCGAGGCCTGCGCTGGGC